GGAAGGAGAACCTCCCTCGTCCTGCTGGCCACACTCTTCTTGATGCCTTGTGAGGGTTTGCCAGTGCGACCCACTGCCCTGACATCCCCGTTTCAGCCCGGCTGGCGCAAGTGCCTCTGTCCCCAAAGCAAAAAGTCCTTTATTTCCAGCGGGCAGCCCCTGCCCGTCGCGCAGGCGGACCCCGCCACGGCTGTTATCACGTCGCACCTCCCCGGCAGCGCGTCACCGTGCTTATCTCACCCTTCGCTTGGGCCTCACCTGAGGGCTCCTCAAGGTGACTTTTGAAGACAAGGTAGCAAAGAAATAGGAAAGCCCAGCACACCCCTGTTGAGGGCCTCCTCTCCATCCTGCAGAGGTCCTGGGCTCCTCTTCTACCATGGAGAAGCTCCTGGAGTTCGGAGGTGTGAAGGAAACCCCCTGGGGTCAGACTTTTCTCGGTCAGTAGTTCGTGAAAAGGCAGCGAAGTTGGTAAAGTGCCTTTGTTGCTGCTTTGAAGCTGGGTCCCAACCCTTGAACTTGGGATGAAGACAGGTTTTCTGGTAGCTTTCGCGGTGGACGTTTGCCAAACGCCTCGTGTGAGGTACAGCGCGGTCTCCTTGGCCAAGAGCGAGGCGGCAGGGAGGGGGGAGTCCTCACCCCCAGGCAGAAGGGTTTCAGCCCATGTGAAGGGGTCACAGCGGCCGAGGAGCGTGGTGGAGTGTCGGGAGCAGGCTACGGCAGAGCTCCTTGGGGATGAGCGAGGAACATTAGCACCCATGGTGCTGGCCATCCCTGAGCTCTTCCACTCAACCGTAACCCAAAGCAGGACAGCGGCACGGTTGCTACCACGTCACTGCAACTTCAGGAGAGGACATGGCTGTCCCAGAGGAGTACCCCCGTGCTAACCTGGGGTCTGCAACCATCGAAGCGAGATGCTGGCACATCTGGGGACCTCACAGGCTCTACCTGCCTCCGCCGTGCCAGCCTGGCAGCAGCAGCGTGTGTCCCTGCGCCGGATGCGTCCTTCCACGGCAAGAGCTCGCGTGGGAGAGCGTTGCCACCTTCTCGCCCGAGTCCCCGGGCTCTGCTGCGCAGGCACGTGGTGCACGAAGGGTTAGGTGTCTCATGGGAGAACGGCTAGCTGGGTTTTTTCCCCTCTAGCCAGGGTTACTAAGGGAGAGAGGAGGTTACTAAGACGAGGGAGGTTCTCCTTCCCCTCTACACTGCCCTGGTGAGGCCTCATCTGGAGTACTGTGTCCAGTTCTGGGCTCCCCAGTTCAAGAAAGATGAGGAGCTACTGGAGAGAGTCCAGCAGAGGGCTGCGAGGATGAGGAGGGGACTGGAGCATCTCTCCTGCGAGGAGAGGCTGAGGGAGCTGGGCTTGTTCAGCCTGGAGAAGAGAAGGCTGCGAGGGGACCTTGGAAATGCCT